AGGATTGAGCCTCTCCTGTGGGATTGCTGGCTCCTCTCAGCACCACACCTGGAACTCCCTGCTGAACCACACTCATTAACCATCCCCTTTGTGCAGCACTGCATCCATTCACCATCCATCTCAATGTGAAGGAAATGCATTGATCTCCAGGATTTACAATCACAGCCCATCACAGCTGGGTTTATTAGGTGAATCAAGCCTGCACATGCACAAAAAGCGACCCTCTGTGAGCTACACTTATGAAAGACATCCATTTCCTTGGGAGGCCTGGGCAGTGACCACACAACCCTCCTGTGCATTAGTCAGAGCCTGCCAGCCTCCAGCACCATCAGCTTGCCCTGATGGAGATGTTCACAGTGTCACAAAATGAGTTTATTGAATCATTCTGCAGAACTCAGCAGAGCCACGTCCCCTCCTCGCTTCGAACCCACACAGTCCCAGCCATCTCTGCAGGCTCCCAGCCACGGTGGCTTCAACCACAACATTACTGCATTTCTCTGTGAGCACTGCTGGATTACCACAGTTAAATTCTGTGGCTGGATTTTTAAAGCAGATCATTAATTTTTCTATAAAGAACACATCTAAAACCTTTAGACTGTGACAGAAAGTCTCAACCAAAGACCCAGCGTAACCATTTTTATAAATATAAGTGTGTCAGTGCTGGGTCCTGCACTGGGGTCACAGGAACACCCCAGGAACACCCCAGGAACACTCCAGGAACACCCCAGGAACACCCCAGGAACACTCCAGGAACACCCCAGAACACCCCAGGAACACTCCAGGAACACTCCAGAACACCCCAGGAACACCCCAGGAACACCCCAGGAACACTCTAGAACACTCCAGAACACTCCAGGAACACTCCAGAACACCCCAGGAACACTCTAGAACACCCCAGGAACACTCTAGAACACCCCAGGAACACCCCAGGAACACTCTAGAACACCCCAGGAACACTCTAGAACACTCCAGAACACCCCAGGAACACCCCAGGAACACCCCAGGAACACTCTAGAACACCCCAGGAACACTCTAGAACACTCCAGAACACTCCAGGAACACTCCAGAACACTCCAGGAACACTCTAGAACACTCCAGAACACCCCAGGAACACCCCAGGAACACTCTAGAACACCCCAGGAACACTCTAGAACACTCCAGAACACTCCAGAACACTCCAGAACACCCCAGGAACACCCCAGGAACACCCCAGGAACACTCCAGGTTCTGGCAGAGGGGCTGGAAAATGCCCAGTGGGAAAGGATCTGGGGGGGCATGACCTGAACATCAGCCCAGGTGTGTGCAGGTGACAAAAAGGTGGAAGGTGTTTTACCAGGAGACTCATGTTGGGCACTTCAGGGATTTTGTTTTGGCTGCCTCTGAGCTGAAGGTTTTGGAGCCCTGGCTGTGCCTGCACACACAGAGCAGAGATTTCTCATTTCATACATCATTTACTCCTGCAGCGATTCCACAAAGTCACAACACATCCCTAATACACAGAAGGGGAGAAATCCATTCTTCTCATGATAATGGCTCAGGTTGGAGATCCTCAGCAGAGATTTCTCAGCACAGCAATGCCTCTCACTACAGGATAATCACATGTCCTTAATAGAGAAACACAAGGCAAACCCAGGAAAACACCAACTCCTCGCAGTCAGAGGATCCTGGTTACAACAGGAGCTTTCCCCCAGCTCTCAGCAAGTTATTTAGTGCACAGCTCCAGCCCTAAGTGCAGCCCAATTCCCACTGGAATCTGTCAGTGCTTCCAGAGAAGGAAAGATGCCTGGGGAGGGTCAGTTGTTGCATCATGAAGCTTCCAGACCCCTTTCCATAACCTGGGGCAGTTAAACCAGCAGCAGTTAAACCAATCTAAAGACTTATGACACATTTTCAGGCTCAGGTTTGGTTTAAGTGTCCTGCAGGCAGGACTGAGCTGCTTTTCACTTGAGCTCTGCCATCCCTGCAGACAGTGAAGCTCTGCAGGACAGGAACCCCTGGCCCTGTGCTGGAGTATGGAGCTGAAGCACAACTCCAACAGGCAGCAGAATAATGGGGAGAAATATAAATAAATAAATATAAATTAAAAATAGAGAAAGTGAGAGTAAGAGATCTAGGAAGGAAAAGGAGGATGATGTGAAGAGTGAAGATATAAAGGGGAACAGTGCCTGCTGTGACCAGGAGTGCCAGGCTGGGTGAATCCTGTGCTGGGAATCCACTGGAGCTCCTGGGGAGCAGCAGAGGCAAGGGGCAAGCTCAGCTCGATGCCTCACCCACCCCAGCAGTGACTGCACTGAGCCCCAGGGCCTCAGCAAGGTGTAAAACCTCAGCAGGTGAAGCCCCCAGCATCCCTTAGCTGCCAGAAACAGCTCGTGTACTTTGTTATAAACACCTTTCCACAGCTGACACTGTCTGCAGCTGGGTCCAAACTGATCCAGCTCTCCTTCGGTCCTGGAGCATTCCTGGGATTCCATGGAAGGGCAAACCCGGGGGCTGAGGCAGCTGATGCAGCACAGGGAGCTCACACTGTGCGAACCCCTCTGTGCCACACCACCCTGCAGAGCCACCAGCACCTCTGTCCTTCCAAAGGGCTCCCAACAAACTCATCACAAATCCACAGCTGACCCCCGTTAGGAAGTGCTTTATTAAATTAAAACATCAATCCCAGAAAGAGATGTTTGCTTAACAGACAGAACCGATTTGGAGCCCTTGTGCTGCAGGGCATGAAATAAAATCAAAGTGTGGCAAAGCACAGGGAATTAAGCCATAAAGGGAAAGCAGTGGGAGGGATGCAGGGACCTCTTGCCAAAGGGAAGCTACTAATCACAGCCTTGGTACAGAAAGATCCCAGAAATGCCACATGTAGACAACAAAAACCTCAGCAATTACCAAGGCATACTTGGGCAACAGGTACTAATGACATTTGGAAATCTAAAAAGGCTGATTTTACAGCCCCTGAGTGAGATTTGGTGCAATATCCTGCAATATCCTGCCTTTCCCTGTTTGCTTCTGTACAGAGCTGGCTACATCCTTTACTATTATAAAATACTGGGGTTTTTAAAGAAGGAGATTTTTTTTTAAACAAGGAGGTTCCAAGATGTTTCCTCTCTCCATTGAGTCAATAAACTTATTTTTTATAAATGTTACTTAAAACAGGCCACAGGTTTCTTCCAGACTTCACAGATTTGCTGTTCCTAGTGAAGGATGGAAGTTTAGAGGAGCTGAGTCTTGACTCAGACAAACAGAAATGTTATTAAAAAGCAACAGGGGACAGTAATTGCACAGAACAAAGTTGTTAGAGGAGCGCTGATGCCCCGAGGTGCCTGTGAACAGGCTTTTTTCACCTCCTTGTCAGTGCTTAATTTTTAACTTCGTTCCCAGATCCTGCCGAATTCCTGATGGCTTTAACTCAGCATGTGGCTCCAGTGACAGCCACAGGGCAGGTGTTTCCAGGCAAAGACAACCAGACACTTCCCACTAAATATCTGTGCAGGGTGGGCAAAGAAAACTTCTGAGTGCCTTCTGTGCCTGAATGAACAAATCTTCATCTCTGCATGAGCACGATGAGCTCAGACCTGACTGTGCCAGCCAGCAGCCCCAGCCAGCAGCCTGGACACATGTTACAGTCAGACAGGTTATCAGAGTCTGTGTTACAGTCAGACACAGGTTATCAGAGTCTGTGTTACAGTCAGACACAGGTTATCACAGCCTGTTACAGTCACACACAGGTTATCACAGCCTGTTACAGTCACACACAGGTTATCACAGCCTGTTACAGTCAGACACAGGTTATCAGAGTCTGTGTTACAGTCAGACACAGGTTATCACAGCCTGTTACAGTCAGACACAGGTTATCACAGCCTGTGTTACAGTCAGACACAGGTTATCACAGCCTGTTACAGTCAGACACAGGTTATCAGAGTCTGTGTTACAGTCAGACACAGGTTATCACTGAGAGAGCCCATGTTACAGTCAGACACAGGTTATCAGTCTGTGTTACAGTCAGACACAGGTTATCACAGCCTGTGTTACAGTCACACACAGGTTATCACAGCCTGTTACAGTCAGACACAGGTTATCAGAGTCTGTGTTACAGTCACACACAGGTTATCACAGCCTGTTACAGTCACACACAGGTTATCACAGCCTGTTACAGTCAGACACAGGTTATCACAGCCTGTTACAGTCACACACAGGTTATCACAGCCTGTTACAGTCAGACACAGGTTATCACAGCCTGTTACAGTCACACACAGGTTATCAGAGTCTGTGTTACAGTCACACACAGGTTATCACAGCCTGTTACAGTCACACACAGGTTATCACAGTCTGTGTTACAGTCACACACAGGTTATCACAGCCTGTGTTACAGTCAGACAGGTTATCACTGAGAGAGCCCATGTTACAGTCAGACACAGGTTATCAGAGTCTGTGTTAGTCACACACAGGTTATCACTGAGAGAGCCCATGTTACAGTCACACACAGGTTATCAGAGTCTGTGTTACAGTCACACACAGGTTATCACAGCCTGTTACAGTCAGACACAGGTTATCACAGCCTGTGTTACAGTCAGACACAGGTTATCACAGCCTGTGTTACAGTCACACACAGGTTATCACAGCCCATTTTAGAGAACAGGCCACAAAGCCCCCTGGATGGCACACACAGCTCCGTGTGTCACCTGGCTGTGATGGCACACACAGCTCCGTGTGTCACCTGGCTGTGATGGCACACACAGCTCCGTGTGTCACCTGGCTGTGATGGCACACACAGCTCCGTGTGTCACCTGGCTGTGATGGCACACACAGCTCCGTGTGTCACCAGGCTGTGATGGCACACAGAGCTCCGTGTGTCACCTGGCTGTGATGGCACACAGAGCTCCGTGTGTCACCAGGCTGTGATGGCACACACAGCTCTGTGTGTCACCTGGCTGTGATGGCACACACAGCTCTGTGTGTCACCAGGCTGTGATGGCACACACACCTCTGTCTGTCACCTGGCTGCCAGAGCAGGGGTGTGCAGAGCCAGGAGCAGACACACCTCACACACACCTGCTGCTCCAGCCTGGGGCACCCCCAGAGCCCTCTGCAATTCCCCACAGGGCTGTTCCTGCACTCTGAACATCCCAAACCTCCTGCCCCCCCTCACTTCACTGGGACATTAAAGATTTCCCAGCAGGTGAAGGCAAGGTGACATCCCCAAAAGCCGGGTGTGAACGGTGTCACCTCCCCAGAGTCACAGTGCAGGAGATCCCTGCAGGACAAACGCTCAGCTCCAGGTGAGGGCTCAGCCAGGGGAGCTGACACACACACTTGGAGATGACATAAATAAATCAAGAGCCCCCTCCCAGCTCCCCCTCTCCAGTTAAGTAGGTCACTCTGCCTACTACGGAAATCAGCTCATCTTCAAAGCAGGTTTGCTCCTCTCCTTATCTCCTTAATGTGCGGGAAGTGCAGAGCATTGTCAGAGCAAAGGGTGATTTCAGACCAATTGGATTTATTTCTGTCACAGGTATAAATAGGAAGTGTGTGTGGTTGTCAGAAACACCAAGCTGAGGCACAGAAAGGAAGGACAGCTGGAAGGTTTCTGCCCTCCAGGTACTTCTGAGTGTGGCCCACAGCTACGAGCCCATGTCCCTGACAGGTAACACAATGCAAATGGAATACAAAGTCTCTCTGTGACCTAGCAAGGGGGAAAAAAAAAAATCCCTTGAATTAGACTGAAACAGCTCAAGGGACTCGCATGAGAGAAGCCCAGCTTACATCAATTCCAGCCTGAAAATCAGGCCCTGCCTTTTTATCACGTTAACCTAGCACAGAGCATTGCAATTTGTACTAGCAATTAACAAAGCTCAGGAGCAAAGCCTGATCCTAACCCTGCTGAAAGTTGCAAAGAGCAGAGCTTACACCTGCAGTGATGCAAGCAGAGCTCCTTCCTCAGAAAAATGTACAGGGTGGGCTGCAGGGTCCTAAACCCCACCAGTGATTTCACCAATCCTGGAATGGTTTGGGTTGGGAGGGACTTCAAAGCTCATCCCATCCCACCCCTGCCATGGCAGGGACACCTCCCACTGTCCCAGGTGCTCCAAGCCCCATCCAGCCTGGCCTTGGGCACTGCCAGGGATCCAGGGGCAGCCCCAGCTGCTCTGGGAATTCATCCCAGCCCCTGCCCACCCTGCCAGGGAACAATTCCTGCCCAAGATCCCATCCATCCCTGCCCTCTGGCAGTGGGAGCCATTCCCTGTGCCCTGTCCCTCCAGCCCTTGTCCCCAGTCCCTCTCCAGCTCTCCTGGAGCCCCTTCAGGCCCTGGAAAGGGCTCTGAGGTGTCCCTGGAGCTGCTCCTGTCCAGGTGAGCCCCCCCAGCTCTGCCAGCCTGGCTCCACAGGACAGGCAGCATTGAAGGAATGAAATTCCCGAGCTGTGTCCATGTTCCTGCTGCTCTCAGTTCCAGCCCTGCTCACTGGGCAGGTGACAAGGGACACCTGGAGCTCTGCTCCAGCCTGCCCAGCTCCCCTGGGGAAGCTCTGGGGCCTGGCAGGATGCAGAGTGCAGGGGATGCAACCAAAGGCAGCAAAAGGAATCCCGGTGCTCACAGGAGGCAAACACTGGAAAAGTTTTATGTAGTAACACCTAAAAAACGAGTCAGAGAAAATGAACCACAAAAAATTGCATTATCACTTGAATGCCCCTATCAGCAATTTTGTTTTAAAAAATAAACTAAAAATCAGCATTTTAAAACTCAAGTGAAAAGGAAGTTCCTTAGACTGGAAAAGCTTTTGCCTCATGCACCTCTGAAGATAATCGCCTGTACAAGCTCCTGACACAGCACATGAGCAAACTTCTCCTGACTCCCAATTGTGCAGCTTCAGCCTGTTCTTTTGCTCCACTGATCCAGGCAGAAGATTCCTGGATCAGCTTTTTCCCCCTCCCCAACTTCTTGAGTTTCAGCTCTTAAGGCTTTAAGCCAAGGCTCAGCATGGAGGTGTGGGAAATGCCAAGGAAGGGGCAGGCAAGAAAGGGGAAAATCTCTCTTGCTGTTTTAATCCTTCTGGAGCAGGGAAGGGAGGGCTGCAGGTCAGGTTCTGCCTCCGAGAGCAGCAGCATTTTGCCCTCTAGACTGCAGAGAGGGAGCCTGGAGCTAAAAGCAGCAGGAAATGAGCTCAGTTCGAGGTACCCACAGCAGGATCACAGCCAGCAGCAGGTCCTGCAGCACATCCCAGCCCTGGCACCACTGCCCCTTCTGCCAAGTCACCCAATCTCTTCACAGGACACCACGTGGACAGAGTGTAGTCCAGCTTTTCACTCACACTCAAACTTCCTCAAGAGTTTAAGGTTTTAGTTCAAGACCTGAGTCCACCCAGCCCCAAAGCTCTGCCCTGGGCCAAGCTCATAAGCCCTGACACTGCCTGGGCACACCTGCCAAAAACTAAATTAAAAAAGCACCCCATGACTGCAATAGGCCTGGAGGCTTCTGAATTTGGAAAGAGCATGATTGATATTAATATGCATGATTTCATAGTAGGCAGAAGTACAGAAAATAGACAGCACTGTGCCTAAAGCCCCAGAATCCACTGGGATTTTGGCAGCACATGCTGGAGAAGACAGTAGCAGCTGTCAAGTCACAGCTGGAGTTGCCTCTGGTGAAGGTGATGGAGAAATGGGATTAAGGAAAAAAACACCACAAAATAAAAGGTAAAATAGGAGGCAAAGGGGCCAGACAGCTGAGCTAACAGGATAGCCTTGCTTGCAGAGCATCCCAAGAGTTCTGAGTTGCTCATTTCATTTTTCCTTCAAGCACGGCCCCAGCCTAACTCACACTTCACCTGTGGGGTGTTTTTACCCCTTGCCTGGCATTCCCAGCTCTGCTGAGCAGGGAAGTCACTCACACAGTGAGGCTGTGATGGGCTCACCCTGGCTGGGTTTTCAGCAGCTCCCCACCCCTGTGACCCCCAAACCTTGCCCTGAAACCCCACACAAAGGTGAGTGTCCTCACAACATCTGCAGGGCCCTACATGAGCTCACCTGTCCCATCCCACCATCCCTTGGAGCAGCAAAATGGGCCATGAACCAACAAACCACGCTGATCTTTTCACTCCCACAGCCTCCTTGGGAAGCTGCTGCTGCTGCCCAGGCTCTGACCTCTCAAACAGACATTTCCCCTATTATAAAAGTGCCAGAAAACCCCGAGGATTTAAAAAACAAACAAACAGAGCAGTACATCCCAAATCACACAGCAGCCATCCCTGGGCACACCCTCGCTGACTCACAGGAGTTTACACCACAAAACAAAGCTCACAGAAGGTTTCTGTGCTCTCCAGCACTGCTCCTGCTCCTCACCCATTTCTGCTCCTGCTCCTCATCCATTTCTGCTCCTCATCCATTTCTGCTCCTCACCCATTTCTGCTCCTCATCCATTTCTGCTCCTGCTCCTCACCCATTTCTGCTCCTCATCCATTTCTGCTCCTGCTCCTCACCCATTTCTGCTCCTCACCCATTTCTGCTCCTGCTCCTCATCTGCTCCTGCTCCTCATCCATTTCTGCTCCTCATCCATTTCTGCTCCTGCTCCTCATCCATTTCTGCTCCTCACCCATTTCTGCTCCCACTGACACAGAAAAGATAATCTGAGGTGAGCTCTCCAAAAGTCACCAATAATATGCAATACTTCATTAAAAAACAAAGTCACCAGCAGTTAGATTGAAACTAAAACAGCTGCAGCATTTAAAACATCCCTTGCAAGTGCAAGCTCCTTTGGAACATCATAATTAGTAAATGGCAAATATTAGGAGTTATGGGAAAAGGGATCATTAAAGCAGACTTTAACAGCCCAGCATCTCCTCCATTCCACGTGCAAAGCCAGTCAGCACACACTGGCAGCATTAAACCCACATTAAGAAACAAACTGCTTCATTTCTGGAGTTGTAAAAACAAAGGTTAAATATCTGCTTCAGCACAAACCCTGTAATTTTTGCACAGCAATTGTATTGTTTTGCTTTGCACAGCTAATAATACCTGCCCTGCTCTGCTCCCACTCATCTCCTGAGAGAGGCTCACACTGGAATCACCAAACCAGAACGAACTTCCCAGGACTACATCTGCCACTAAGGCTTCTGGAAGTACCTCTCCTTTTAGTTATACTTCATTTATATAACGCAGTGAGTTGAAAATACACTTTATTTTTTTTTGCAGAGAGCCCTCCTTGTAACTAAATAAGTAGCTGCACAATGTTCAGATATTCCTGAAGCAAAGCAGAGGTGCCCCCAGGACTGCTGCTCCTTGCCTGGACACCCTATCCCATCTTTCCCAGAAAATATGGAGCAGTTTGATGGTGTTAAACCTGATTTTGACAACATCTGAGCATCTCAGTCCAACTGGAAAAATGATAAACAAAGTAAAGCAGTTTCTCCTGCTGGAAAAGTCTGGGCAGCCTCAGAATAAAATGACAGCAGAGAAGTCTCCACCCAGCCCTGTAGCTGTGGAGTGAATATGGATATCCACATCCAACTTCTTTGGAATTTCTGGAATTGGAGCTGGGTGTTCCTGGATATGCAGAGCTGGACATTCAAGGGAATTCCAGGAGTTTCCAAACAGCTGCACAAATGATGCTGAAGGCCCTCAGTGGGGATGTGATGTCTAAGTTTTATTCCTCCCTGTTCTCTGCAAGGTCTGGGGCTGCTCTCGGATCAACCCGACAGCATCAGTAGGAAGGGAAATTCATGGAAGGAACACAGCACTAATTAGTACTGGGAAGTTGAGTAACTCACAAGGAAAAGACTGGTAAAAGTGTAAAATCCCATTTTACTGCCTAGCCCCTCTCATTTCTGTCAGAGGAGAGATGGAAAAGCCAGTGCTGGTTCAGTGCCTGCTGCAGAGACAGCTCCAGTCAGAGTGAGCTGAGCCCACAGCCCCCGTGCCAGACCCTGCCAGAGGCAGGAGCCACCTCCAGCCTCTCACTCCTGGCAGGGAGGGGACACCGGGAACCCTCTGTGGTCCCTTCCAGCCCAAACCACTCTCTGGGATTCCCTGAGGAGGAGGAAGCACACCCAGCACCTCTCCTACCCCACTCTGCCTCCAAATACCTTCAAACAACCAAAACTTGTCTGCAAGGTTATCTTTGTTCCCATGTCATTCCCCACATTAAAAGCTCGTCTCTTCCTGACCTTGAGACATCCCTTCAGTACCACAGAAGGAAACATAAATCCCTAAATTACCTATTTCTTCTGATATTATTCTGTGTGACTGCTGGAGCATCACACAAAGCATCAGAGTCAGAGGTGAGCCCCAAGCCTTTGCTGCTGGGTCCTGCTGCCCTCAGTGGTGACACCAGCTCCTCCTGATGACAGCTTCCAGCAGCCTGAAATCCCACATTATGGTGTTTGGGATACACCTAGGGCAGGGCACGGCGGGGTTTACACCAGGCTAATGGTAATTACTGTTATTGTCTTGTCAGTGAAAGAGGAAACACTGAAATCCAACCCAGCAGAGCAGGGGGTTTATGTTCCCAGCTATTTAAAGCACTCAGTGTTCCAGCCCACCTCTCTGAAGGCAGCAAATCCTAAAAACACACAAAGGTCAACAAAAATTTAAAATCCAGTAATGAAATATGAGCGTGCTCTAAAATCCATTAAATGGCTTTTCACTTTTTTATTCTCCTCCTCTGCTTGGTGTTTGTAAAGTGTGATCAAGCAACTGCTTTGGAAGAATTAGCAGTAATTTGGTGCAAACGTGAGTGCCCTCCTGATTTAATTTGAAGTGTAACACAGGCAAAGACCCAGAAAGAGATTCTAATTGTTATTTTAAAATTAACCTTCTCACTTTACCTTTATGCTCTGAGAACAAGCACAACCACAGCGGGCCATTACCCTGCCCAAAACACTGCACGAGCTAATGAAGATTAAAACTGAGGTTAAATAAATTCTGACAGCAGGTAGGAAACCTTGCTTGGCTCTCTGAGGAAACACCCAGAATAACTCTGGGGCGCTGATGGTGTGTGTTAATCCACTGCTGATTGCTCCAGCCACGGCTTTCTGCTTTCTGCATCAGTGCTTGGACACCAAGGAGCAGCAATCTGCATTTCCAGGATTTCTGCATTTCTGCATTTCCAGGATTTCTGGATTTCTGGATTTCTGGATTTCTGCATTTCCAGGATTTCTGGATTTCTGGATTTCTGGATTTCTGCATTTCCAGGATTTCTGGATTTCTGGATTTCTGCATTTCCAGGATTTCTGGATTTCTGCATTTCCAGGATTTCTGGATTTCCAGGATTTCTGCATTTCTGCATTTCCAGGATTTCTGGATTTCCAGGATTTCTGCATTTCTGCATTTCCAGGATTTCTGGATTTCCAGGATTTCTGGATTTCTGCATCTCCAGGGCCCAGCAGCACAGAAAGGCCCTGCTGTTCCACAGAGGAGGGGGAGCAGAGGAAGTCCTGCATCCCTCCTGGCTGCTGGGGAATGCAGCTCAGGGATGCTCAGCACATGGCACAGCCCAGCTCCTCCCAGCCTGAGCCTTCCCCTGCCAGAGCCAGGGAGTGCTGGGGACACTCAGACCACAGGCAGGGACACAAAGGGCTTTAAACTGATGAGGGGCAGAGTTCTGTGGGATATTGGGAAGGAATTCTTCACTCTCACCCTGGCACAGGTGCCCAGAGCAGCTGGGGCTGTCCCTGGATCCCTGGCAGTGCCCAAGGCCAGGCTGGATGGGGTTTGGAGCTCCTGGGACAGTGGGAGCTGTCCCTGCCATGGCTGGGGTGGCACTGGGTGGGCTTTGAGGTCCCTTCAACCCAACCCAGTGTGTGATTCTAAGTCATTTCCACTTGCACATAACAAGATTAGTAAAGGGGAGAGGGACCAAGGATTCCTCTTCCCTCCCTCCTTCCTGAGCATCCCATGCTGACACCTCACACCGGTGTTTTACTGCTCTGGAATGAAATCCCCATCTGAGGGAAGATGTGCTGACAGCTGTGACACGGCCCCAGAGCTCCAGAGAGCTCTCATTTTCCCTGCCAGCAGGAAGAATGGTGCTCCTGCACAGCAGCCTGGCCTCAGAGCCCAGGGAGGTCCCTCTTTTCCACAAAGCCATGAAAGCAGAGCTCTCGGGTTACTGCGGGAGACGCGGCGATGCCGAAGGAGTTTCCTGTTCCAAGGCAGAACAAGCGCTGGGACACGGCACACAGCCCTTGGCATGGCTCTCTGGGGTGTCAGGGATCAGAGGAATCCCAGGGAGGAATCCCAGGATGGCAGGAGCTGCGATTCATCACAGCCAGCGCCGTGCAAGCCCCAAGCAGCAGATTTTATACAGGAAAATGCAAACTGTGATTTTTATCCAACTCACCAGGAATTCTCCTCCTTTTTCAAGCAAGTTTGCATCTCCCCAAGGAGCCTGCAGCAGAGCCCTGGGCTGCAGCTGGAGCAGGCTGTGATGGCTCAGCACAGCCCTCTCCTCGCAGTTTTACGTCTGTTGCATCATTCCTGCGTTATTTTTAGAGCACCATCGGGGGATGGCAGAATGTGGGTCGATAGCTATTAGATTTATAGGCAGAAATAGCAAGGCTTGTAGCTGTAAGGTGTAAAGCATTCAACAATTTCTAGAACAAATCTGACCATGGGGATTGGGGGCTGGAGAATGCAGTTGTTGTACTCCCAGAACTGTTCAGGAAAAATAATCTCCGTGCTGCTGGATACATTTCTGGAGTTGAATCACTGCTGTTGACTCACAGGAGGGTCAATACTCCGAGCATTCAGCTTCAACAGCCCTTTGCAGACTTGGATAAGGACATCTTACCAAAAATAAGCCTCCCTTTTCAATGTAATCTATCAGCATGCAGAATGCCCTCAGCTCCAGCCCGTGGCTCAGGCGTGTCTGAGGAGCTGGGACTGGCAGCCTGCCAGCAACATCTGGAGCAGATGTTTCATTTTAGGCAAAGACCAGCGGTGTGAATCACAAAATCAGTGAAACCTCCTTGGTTACCTGGGCAGGCTCATTTACCTTTGCTGTTAACAGGGGGGTTTCTCACAGGCTGCATTTTCTGGTCAGCAGCACTCCTGCTCTCTGCCAGGGGAGGATAAGGAGGGAGGATGGCCTGGAAGGGAGCAGCAGATCCCCCAAAATCCAGGGACATGGACAGCATGGAAGCTCGTCTCTTCCTGTCCTTGAGACATCCCTTCAGTACTACATAAGGAAACATAAATCCCTAAATTACCTATTTCTTCTGATATTATTCTGTGTATGCCTAAGGCCAGCTTCATCCATCAGTCCTGCCTGCTCGAGGGGGGAGAGCTCCGAGACAGCGAGCACAGGGCTGCTCCTCAGCCATTCCTGCTGCCACCCCAAAGGCTTGGGGTGTCCTGGGGTGTCCTGGGGTGTCCAGGGGTGTCCAGGGGTGTCCTGGGGTACCCAGGGGTGTCCAGGGGTACCCAGGGGTGTCCTGGGGTATCCAGGGGTATCCAGGGGTATCCAGGGGTGTCCAGGGGTGTCCAGGGGTGTCCAGGGGTATCCTGGGGTATCCTGGGGTGTCCAGGGGTGTCCAGGGGTGTCCAGGGGTGTCCAGGGCTACCCAAGGGTGTCCAGGGGTGTCCAGGGGTATCCTGGGGTGTCCAGGGTTACCCAGGGGTATCCAGGGTTACCCTGGGGTTTCCAGGGATTATCCAGGGGGATCCTGGGGTATTCTGGGGTATCCAGGGGTACCCAGGGGTTTCCAGGGGTATCCAGGGGTTTCCAGGGGTTTCCAGGGGTGTCCAGGGGTGTCCAGGGGTATCCAGGGGTATCCAGGGGTATCCAGGGGTGTCCAGCATGCTGTGGGAGCCCAGCAGGGCAGAGCACCATGGGCAGTGTTGCCCTCTGGAGTGGCAGCTGGAAAACCCCAGGCACTGAAACATCTCGAGGTGCCCGTGCTCCCCCAAATAAATCCAAGTGTCTCTCCCTGGAGACACCACAGGACACTCCTGATGCAGCCTGAGGCTCACAAGCAGGACTGTTATAATTACAGCACCTTTCTGGGTGTTTGTATCCCTGGGGAGATATTGCTCACAGCTGCACAGCCAAATGGGCAGTTTATAATGGACCTTTGTGAAGGGCCAGGGGAGGTTCTGCTCCTCCATCCAGGGAGGCCTGAATTAATCTGCAAAACTAAAAACCCACTGTTGGCACTGTCCTGTGGTCACTGCTGGTGCATGCCATGGATCCTGAGCTGTCTCTGCACACCAAATGTGTCACTGCTTTATTACTCATTCATTGTCAACGCCAGGCAATGTTTGGATCATGATGCCAAACAACCATCACACCCCAAAATTATCTTTCAGTTCCTTGTCAGATGGGTTGCAAACTAAATGTCACATTGATGTCTGAGCTTCCAGATGCTCCTAAATGTCTGTCTTAAGCTTCACCTTTTAACTCTATTATTTCTCTGAGAAGTATTTCCTTTATTCATTCCTCGATCAGTATCAAACCCAATTCCCAGGAACCTGATAAGAATAATTTACAGGCAGCAGCTCTCAGGTGCCTTGAGCCTGTGCAGACCTCTCTCCTGCTGTGAGGAAGTTTAGGCTGAGAACTGCTAAAAGCAGGTACTGAATGCATAATTCTCATTATTCCTAATAAAGAATACGGCAACAAGATCTGTTTGGTGTATCCTAAATGCTGAACTGTCAATTTTCATCAGGTTGC